ATTCTTCTGATGTTGAAGAAATTACTAAAAGCACCTTTAATGGTTAAAAACCATTAATCCTGAACCACTCTTTGAAAGTTCATACATTTTATAATAAACGTTATGCATCCAAGCATTGAACTGCTTGCAAATCCTCTAATAAGATGAGCTAGAAGAGCAATTTAGGAACTGGTATGTTGTAGGTAATATGTAAACAGTTTAGATGAGTAAAATGCTTAACTATGTACTTGAATGCGGTTTTGATTCGTTCTTTAAATGGTTGATGCGAATGGCTTATAACGGAATCAATATTTATTAGTAACGTTCTCGATACATGTATTTATCTATTGCTTAATTTCAGCTTTGCCAACAATAGCATTTCCGAGTCCAAGAGAACCAACAACAATCGCCTCGGACTTCTCGTATTTAGCCATTCCAGCAACTTTCTCCGCTGCTGTTATAGCGTAGATGTCTCTGAAGGACAAAAAATAGTTGATATCAACTCATAAAGCATTGATTTAGTACCTGTTGACAGTCACACCACAGACGGTTTCGACTTGAGCGAACTGTTTGACATTTGGTGTGGTCCATCCACCAAAGGCGCGGAAGTCATTGAAATCTGCTGGAGACTCGTTAGAAACTCCACTTCCATAGGTGTTCCAATACCAGAGCATAGCATTATTGATAGTGGCTCCACCAGTGATCTGATTCCAGTCATAAATGCTGGTGTAGATTCCGATGGAAAGACCATATTGCTGAAAGTACGTCAATTTAGAAAATTTTCGAGAATCTTTAAACTTCAATTAGAGGTGAGGGCCTACGTTAGCTCTTGATAGGATGGAGTTAAGGAAATTAATGTTCGTGGAGGTACTAGTGAACCAGTTGACTGGTGAGGTAACCTAAAATTTGCACTTTTCGAATATCTGTAATGTAGCTGAGAGACCCTATCAACACTCGCCTGGACCCAGACAGATCGGACGTTGATGTTGGCGTTTTTAAGTCCACTATACATTTCATCAAACTGTTGGATGCCGCTTTTGGCCGAATTTGGTTGAGGAGTCATATAGACCTCAGTACCGAATCCAGCTGAATCATAATATTCAAAAATTCATAAAACGAATACTGGAGAGTTGTCACCTGCGTTGGCATTTCGGATG